TGTTACTCCGCCGCTGCTGCTGCATCGACGCAACGCGTGCTCAAAACGCTGAGAAAACATAACCTTTTCAATTTGTGATTTGGAATCCCAGAGGCTGGTAATTAAGAGATAAGCTTGTTTCTAAGCTTCAAAGTGTGTGTATGTATTCAAAGCGATCGGTGACTATAATATATGAGAAATAGACTCCAGTTGTAGTGCTTTGTGCTTAAAAATAACTAAGAAGTGTGACTGTGGCTGTTCGCGCCTCAGGACGCTAAGGATTTCAACTATTGAAAACGTGCAAATTCAGGTTGTACCTTTCTTCTTTCATTTATCAGTATTTGACGCAGACAATATGCCTCGTTGTTGCTGTGTTCCTTTATGCAATGCAAACTATAATTCTGCTTTGAAACAGAAAGCTATGTTTCAACTTTTCGCTTCCCAAGTACCGAAGTCTGAAAAACAAATGGCTTATGGCAATTCCCAGAAAAAATTGGACACCTTCAAAATATTCAGCTGTGTGCAGTCGTCATTTTAGAGAATCGGACATCATCAGGACAGAAAAATATAGTTTTGGCGGATGGAACAGTCCAAAATAATATACCTTTGAAATATCCAAAATTGAAAGAAAATGCTGTTCCCTCCATTTTCCCAAACTTGCCATCATATCTTTCAAAAACTGAAGCACCCAAAGAACTGACCCAATGCAAGAAAACAAAAATTAATTGAGAAACATGAAAAAGCTATCCAGAATTTCGATGATATGGATAAGATCAAAGATAAATTTAGTTCAAAAATGTGGATTTGAAGTTATTTGTGTTGTTACTGATAATCACCGAATTAATAGAGCAATGTTCAGGAAATTAGCAAAGGATTCATCAGAAAATTATTCTATTCCAAATCCACATAATCCTGATAGAACATATATTTAACTTATGATGTTGTGCATATTTCAAGAGTATCAGAAATAATTGGATTAATTTAAAAAACCTAGACAAAACTTTTGTATATCCTAATTTTGACAATAATGATATTATTCAGTATGCTAAATTTGAAAAATTCGTGCTGTATATCAATTGGAAAAAGAAGCTGTAGTTAAGAAAGCATATAAATTAAATTATAAACAATGCATCCAAATTCATTTGAAAGGCAAAATGTAAATTTTGTAGATAATTTATTCCATCACTCAACAATAGCTGCTATGAAAGAATTAAATTTAATGATGCTGCACACTTTTTGGAAATAATCAGGAATTGGTGGGATATTGTCAGTAATACAAGTGTAATAAAGGAGAATTGAAGCGAACGAATTTTATAAGCCTATTACCAATAAATATGATTATAGAGTACAATTTTTTTAAAAATTCCTGATATGGTTAGAAAAAATGGCATAATCTAGAGAATAATAATGGACACCTGACACCAGAAACGTATACAGCTCTATATCAAAGCACGCTGACTCTACTTAATATAATTGAATATTCATTTAATCAATTTGACATTGAGTATGTATTGCCTGGAAAATTCACCACTGATAATTTAGAAAAACGATTTGGGAATTATAGACTTTTATGTGGCTGCAATTACAATGTGTCATATGATGAAATTTTAAATGCTGAAAAGAAAATACGGCTGAAGCATATTTTCAATGAAAAGAAATCGTCATTTTCTTTAGCAGATATTAAAACAAGGTTCCAAAACTGCTTAGAAACTCAAGAAAATTTTGATTTCTTGGATACCAAACAAAATCCTGAAGTTTTGGATATATTCAGTGAAGTATTTGAGACAAATTACTTAGCCAATTGTGACATAGAGGATAGTACTTATATATCTGGATATGCTTCACACGCTATCTCTAAAAACCTAAACTGCGAGATATGCAAATCGCTAATAGTTAAAGAAAAAGGTTCAATAACAACAAATGTTTATTTTGATCATTTGCAAAGAGGAGGACTGTCAATTCCAACCAGTTATGTACCAATCATATTCTACCATATGTATGCCATTTTTGAATCTATTATTAATGTAGATAAATTGGAAATTTTCTTCTTGAAAAGCAATAATCAAAAATTTATTTTGTGTCAGTTAACCTTGCTCAGCATTCAGTCTGACTTTATATACAGTGAATTTTCTTTAACTTGCATCTGTGGCCGCAATTATGCAGATATTTTATCTAAGCTTTTGTCTATTTTTTCAAACATAATTTTGAATGATTATGTAAAATTGAAAAATAACAGTAAAACTGAAAGTAAATGTATTAAAAACAAACAGGTAACTCCACATTTCCAAGCTGGGCCTGTTGGAAAACAGTGTGCTGACACCAAAAAACGTAAACTAAATACTTTTAATTAGGTTAACTGCATTAGCGACTCATATATATCACGATTATTTCGTATTTTTAAATTTTTAGAGCTATTTCATATTCAGACGATTTGTATCGAATCGAACTGTCCTCTTTTCCAAAATTGCTGGCGGCCGACGTTCACAGGTAGCACTACCATGCCGTCCGAGCGCGGTGTTGCCTTTCTTTCATCCCGGCTCGTAGTTGACATCGGCTGTGACCGTATCTCCTTGTTAGTTGCTATGCTTTCGTTGCTTGCCCAGGGACGATTGACCAAGCCTGGACCATGCTAATGAGCCAAATAGCACGAAACACCTGTCCATCACTAGCTGCCTTCATAATGTCCAATTCTAACTATTTAAGATATTTTTGGCCAAAGCAGTTGTCAGCTTCACAGCCAAAAACAAATATAATTTGGACAAGCTCAAAGAGCACAGTGAGTTGCCTGTCTAGACAGCTTGACCTTGAGATAACTTCGAGAGCTTCACAATCAATTAGGACTTTTGAATGCCCTTGAGCCAACTGCTTCATAGAATATGAATGAGTCCACATTTCAAGAAACTATTTAACCACACATCAATCCTACCTGAAACAGTGGAACGTCGAATTCCAAAAACTTCGCAAGGTTTACATCTTTGATAGATCTCAATACTAAAATATTCTCTTTCTCGTCCGGATATCGTAGCTTCAGAGCACCAGCAGCTCTTAATACGGATTTGACTGCTCTCATACCTGTACAAATTGAAAAAAGAAGATCGAAAGGATTACAAAATTCCGAAATTCTTTATCGTTGCTCACCGTAATCATAATGACACTGAGAAGATAGTTGTTCTGAGCACAATCTGTAAGTAGCAACGATTTTGACAGCTAGTGGCTTGGCTGTCAAAAAACCCGATGAGAAAAGATCGATTTCAGATATGAGACAATAATCTGGAACCATCATTGCTACAGATCTGAAAAAAAAATTAAGAATCTAAATAAAAAACAGTTGAATCTTGCTTCCAACTCGCACAACTTATTACGAATAGTACAATAGTATTTTGAACTCTTAAATGCACATAAAATGTATATATATATAACTTGAGACGTGGCCATTGTCGTCTAGACCAGTTAGGTGAAAAATTAAAGCTTCCGCCTTTTGTTGGGTACTTCGACAAAATTTAAGCAAAGAGGACTCTTTATACTTTTTTAGTTCTCTCTAGCTTTCAATGGACTTTGCCATCATCATCAGGAGCTGCAATTACAATGATAACAGTAGCAATAATAGTGTAAAATGAATTTAAATTGACTTAACTTAGTAGTATGTGAGGATGTTGCTAATTGTTGTTTACGTTCAGGATTAACTATATTTTATTTAATTTCCCATTAATTAAAATATAGTTAATTCAACTGCCTTTGGTCGGTTTAACAATTTCTTACATAACATTCTGAAAATCACATCATCTGAAGTGATTTGGCAACGTTGGCACACGTCCACAATTCGTTCCATCTTTCTACACAGACATTGACAACCTTCGGCCTTCTGTCAAAGGGTTCATCTCACTCATTATTCCATGACCACCATTTTGTGCAATCATCAAGTGGCTTCACGATGTAATGTTTTCTTGTTCTAAAAAATTTTTAATCTGTTTTTAACTTGTTCTTGTCACACATTTATGTGTATTTTATATAATTTTGACCATTGTACCATCTATCCAGCTTTCACCATGTTACTGGGCGTTTCCCTCATCCTGAACGTAAACAACAATTAGCAACATCCTCACATACTACTGTAAGTTAAGTCAATTTAAATTCATTTTACACTATTGTTGCTACTGTTATCATTGTAATTGCAGCTCCTGATGATGATGGCAAAGTCCATTGAAAGCTAGAGGGGATAAAAAAGTATAAAGAGTCCTCCTTGCTTAAATTTTTGTCGAAGTACCCAACAAAAGGCGGAAGCTTTAATTTTTCACCTATATATATATTATATATATAATAATATATATAAATCTATGGCAAATATACGATAGCAGACCAACTAATCTATTAAATATACAAGTTTGTTTTCTTATGAATGCAAGATGCAAGCGACTGTTGTTACCTGAAGAGCGCTTTCAAGTTATCTGGCAACTCTGATCTGCCAGCATATCCAGGATTCATAGTAATAAACACAGCACACGTAGGGTCCAAATTCAACATTGTGCCTTCAAATAGTAGCTGATCATTTCCAGAGTTGATGCCTCTTTGTATCGTTAGAATTTGCTGGGCAACTACAGAAAGCACCTCCAGGTCAATTCGGTTAAATTCGTCGAAACAGGACCAGGCACCACAAGAAGCAAGACCCTGCATTATCAAATGGTATTCGTTTTACTTTTCATACGGATTCCGTGCTAGAGTGAAAAGAGTGGTGTCTAATACAAACTGAGATACAGTTACAACAGGCACTTTGCTGTTTTCACTCTCGCGGTGGTCGAGTCTGATAATAGATAGCCCATTGTGCTTTATCATTCCAATAGACCCTAAAAACAGCTACAGCTAGAGGAGATCACGCTCCGGGCATGAGAATTCGTTTTACTGACGTACATTTTAATATATAATATCATCAATAATCATTACAAAAGCAGTCCAACAGGAAGTAACCTGAAACAAATTTGAGACTTTTCGAAGCAGACCTTGGTTTAAAGGAATTACCAATCGTCCTCAAATTAGAACCGCGAGTAGAATAAGAAGTGGCCATGTCTTTACATCAATCATAAATCAAGAATTTTTGTTGTTGAAGATTTATTTAGCATTAATGCTACAATGTCAATTTTGTATAATTATTAGGTTAGGTACATATTTTTCTTCAATCCATTTTCTGTAATTTTACATGCTTGTCTATTAAATTTAAAATTAAAATTACGTCACTATGTAATTTGATTATTCATAAAGTGATTTCTTAATTTGACCTTAAACAATTTTAAATTCGAACTCTGTTTAATATCATTATTCAATTTATTAAATTCAGATACTCCGTTCTGAAATATAGATTTACTAGTTATGCTACTATTACAATTTTGCAGATAAAAATCTATACTGCCTCTAGTTTCGTAGTTATGATAATGACTATTTAATTTTGTGAAGTTCTCTAAATGTGGTGGTAATAAATGATTTTTTAATTTGAATATGTAAATGAGAACTAAATAATATATGGAATTTTTCACATCCAACCACTGCAATTTTTCTAACATAGACCTAATCCTAGCATATTTGTTTTTATTTAAAATGATTCTCATAGCTTTATTTTGTAGAATTTGTAATTTTGAAAATATGTTTTCATTTGCTGTAAACAAGATGGTCGAACAATATAAAAAATGGAGAAGAATTTTTTTGGAATACATACTAAGATTATGGGAAATTCTATATAAGTAATTCATCTTTTTCGATATTTTTGAAGTAATGTATTCATAATGTTCGTGAAGCAGTAGCTTACTATCCACATATATACCAAGATATTTAAATGACTCGATTATTAGTAGTAGTAGAAAGATTTATTTAGCATATTTGGCTACATAAGCAGAATAATTGTAAACAACTTAGAACTAGTAAATTCAAGTCATATGGTGTATGATGTAAATGCTGGGCAACCTATAATTGTAGATTTAACAAGTGATTTCTCAATTTTACTTTAAATTTTGTCAAAGTTTTCTGGTCTTTTATCTCCGAGTATAATTTATTATATTCAATCAACCCTTGATGGAATACAGATTTGTAGCATATGTTATACTTTTTGGTCATTAAATGGAAGTCATCTTTATTTCTCGTATTATGTAAATAATGGTCGATATTTGATGATGTTAAATTAGTTAGACTTGATGGAAATATATTATTTTTTACTTTATAAATGAATATCATTACAAGATATTTGATAAAATTTTTTACATTGAGCCATTTTAATTTGCTAAGCATTTGCCTAATTGGAGTATATTTATCTTTATTTAGTATTATTCTCATGCACTTATTTTGTAAAATTTGCAGTCTTTCAAAAATGGAATTATTTGCTAAATATAGAATAGTCGAACAGTACAAGAAATTTGGAAGAATCATGGTATTATAGATAATTTCTCTGCTATATGAACTCAGACATCCAGAAACTCTCGATAAATATCCCACTTTACTACTAATCTTATTTATAACTTTTTCATAATGAATATCAAAAATTAATCGAGAGTCAACAAAAACCCCCAGGTATTTAAAATTTTCTACGAATTGAATATCTTCACCATCAATATTCAGTTGAACATTTGTACATTGTTTTTTTCCGATTAACAAGGCTTTCGTTTTACTTGCATTTAATTTTAGTCTGTTAGATGCTAACCATTTTGAGACAAGCTTCAAGTCTTCATTTATATAAGAGATACCAGACTGAATATTTTTAGTACTTATATAAATCATAGTGTCATCGGCGAAAATCTGAATTTTGCATTTTTTTACTATGGCAGGTAAATCATTTATGTATAAAATAAAAAGAAGTGGTCCCAGGATACTGCCCTGTGGAACACCCAACGTATTTTCAATTTTTGATGAAATAGTGTCATTAACTTTTGTATGATGTTTATAAACCAATCTAAAACACTTCCTGTTATACCATATGCCTTTAATTTACCTAACAAAATATCTCTATCAATCGTTTCAAATGCCCTCTTCAAATCCAAAAATACTGCTATGACAACTTCTTCTGAGTCTATGGCTCTTCTCCAATTCTCAGTTACCAACTGGAAAGCTGTTTCTGTGGAATATTTTTTCGAAAGCCTGCTTGCGCCTCCACTAAAATTTTGTTTTCTTCTATAAACTGCATTAATTGGTCATGCACTATGGACTCTAATAATTTTTCAATGTCTGGTAATACATTTACTGGTCTCATATCGTTGCATCTTTTAGAATTTTTTATTTTGGGAACTGGTGTTATTGTAGAGCATTTCAAATTTTCAGGAAAAGAACTGCTTCTCAGTGAACAATTGATCCAATTTAATACAGGATATCCCAAAATTTCGAAACAGTTTTTCAGCACGTTTTTAGTAGTGATTTCGGCACAGTTGTTATTTGATTTTAAACAATTTACTTTTTTTTAGATAATTCAATTCTACGCTGTGAAATTTTGAAAGTGTATTTCCCCCTGGAAACTGATTTTCATATAGTCAGGTGCAGCATTGGCAGTACCCACAATATCAACAATACTTTCCACAAAATATTCATTTAGTTTGTTTGCAATCACCAAAGAATTTGTTTCGGTACCGTTTTCGAATTGAACTTGATTTACACAATCATGCGGCTTCGAATTGATCAGTCTTTTTAAAGTCTTCCGCATCTTTACACTGTCGCACTTGTGATTATCGATTTGTTTATCGTAGAAGTTCCTTTTTCCTTCTCTAATTACAATACACATTTATTCCTAAGAGTTTTATATACCTCCCAATCATCATTCGATTTTGTGAATATACATTTATTGTATTGTTTGTCTCTCAAATTTTGAGCTTGTTATACCAGGGTGTATTTTTTGTCGAGCTAATCACTTTTTATCAGTTGCAAGATCTAAACGAGTTTTTATATTTCCTATTATGTTGTCATATATTTTTTCCATATTCTCACCAAAATTCCAATAGCAGCCAGCAAGTTCTCGTTCAAGTTTTTCGTACTTAATAGTATTTACGATTTTCTTAATTTTTGTATCAGAAAAATGCCCTACCAAGTGCAGCATTGTACAAATGTGATCGGGAACTTTAGGTGTATGTGCAGCTTTAATCCCTGTACATTCGAAATTTACAATAACAAGATCTAACAAAGTCTCTGATAATGATGTTATTCTGGTACTCTCTTCAATTTTTTGCTTGAATCCATAGTTGTTTATGGTTTCTTTCAATTTTCTTGTTTTCATGCATTTACCGTAATAATTTAAATTAAAATCACCTAAAAGTATTATATTGTTTCTAAAATTCCACATTTCTTCGCATTTTTCTTCAAAAAACGTTAATAATGTATCCGCATCACTGTTTGGTGAACAGTAAAAAATACAAAGATCATAACGTTTCCCAAATAATTTGAACTGTATATGTGCATACCAGTATGCATAGTCTAAAGTGGTACAATCGAATAATGTGATCTGTATTTTGTGGTAAACATAAATCACTACACTTCCAGTATGTCTGGAGTTGGAGTTGCATCTGTAGGTGTTATAATTAGTAATTTGTAATTCACCATCAGTGATGTCTTCTGTAGCATGTGTTTCGGTAAAACATAATACAAGTGGTTTTCTCCATCTTAAAAACTGTTGAACTTCATCTATATTATTCAGGACTCCTTGTATGTTTAAATGGTATATTGACTTATATTCATCACTTACAGATTTAGCCACGTCTTGCAAATCTGAGCTTAGTAGTTGCTATTCATTTGCATAATTAATTTTTTCCCTCTCACGTTCAATTTTCCTTTTATATACTTCACAATTTTTGTCAAATGGTCCATGATTAATAGGTAATCCTAGATTAAAATCCTGATTTGCACTTTTACAATTTGGACAGCATTTGTACATTTCACTGGTACTACAGTTTTCTGTTGAATGTCCTTCTAATCCACAAGTAATACATCTTCCTGATTTTGTGCATTATTTAGCTGTGTGGTTAAATACGGTACATTTATAGCATCGCAAAACATTGATGTACTCGAAAACTCGTCTAAATATTTCCCTTCGACATGGAGATGATTGCCATTGCAGAAATATAGGAACCTTACACAACCTCGTATCGGAATATCCAAATTCTAATAGAGAGAATACTGAATTGTGTCAAAATTTAGCGGAACACTTACCTTTGCCTCTAAATTTAGCTCAATATTATTCAGTTCTGAGAACCTGTTTGGAAAAATTAACGAAAACAAGAATATAATGTAAAAAAAAATCAGTATAAAGTAAAAAATTAGGAAAAAACAAGAAAGATTGATATTCAAATCAAGTTGGGTACTTTATTTTGAAGGATCATTTATACCATTTATGTATGAAAAATAATATCACTCAAATGTTCACCACGACTGGATTTACAGACGTCCACGCGATGGTCGAAATGTTCAATGACATTTTGCAACATGGTCAGTTCTATGGCATTTATCTCGGCAATGATGTTGTTTTTGAGTTCTTGGAGGGTGGCTGGTTTGTTGACGTAGACTTTGCTTTTCAAATATCCTCATAAAAAGAAGTCCAAGGGAGTCAAATCGCACGATCTTGGTGGCCATGGCACATTTCCTTTGCGCGAAATCACGCGATCACCGAAGAAGGACTGCAATTGATGGATATTGACGTTGGTTGTGTGGCATGTTGCACCGTCTTGCTGGAAATAAACATCGTCCATATCCATTCCTTCAATTTGCGGCAAAAATAGTCCTCTATCATCACGTGATATCGCTCAGAATATACGGTAACGGCTTCCCCGGCCGCATTTTCGAAAAAGTAAGGTCCGATGATGCCTTTTGACTACAATGCACACCACACAGTCACTTTTTGAGGATGCATCGGCTGCTCTTAATACTCACGGGGATTTTCGTTCGCCCAGATGCGGCAGTTTTGCTTGTTTACCGTCCCATTCAAAGTGAAATGCGCTTCGTCGCTGAACATGATTTTTGATGAAAAAGTGGAATCAATTTGGCGGTGTTCAAGGAGCCAATCTGAGAACGTGCGGCGCGAAAAATGGTCGGCCCGACGCAGCTCTTGCGTCAATTGGATCTTGTAGGCGTGTACATTCAAATCCTTGTGGAGAATGCGGAGCAAACTGGTTCTCGAAATGCCCAATTCTTGGGATCGACGCGTTGTTGATTGTTTCGGATCGTCTCTCACACTCTCCTTCACAACAGCAATATCTTCCGGTGTGCGAACGAACGCTGCTTGGCCGGCCAGAGCCTGGCAGATTTGCCACAGAACCTGTTGCCTCGAATTTACGCACCAGACGACCGATGGTTGTTTCGTTTGGGCGGTTGTTGCGACCGAAATGTTCGCGAAGCGCGCGAAACGTGTTTTTTATTTTTGCACCATTTTTGTAGTGCTCTTGAATAACTTTAATCGAATACGACTCCATAGCGATCAATGGTAAACATTCAACTAACAAAATGACATGTCGGTGACAGAAAACAAAGATGGCGTCTATGTCAAATTGACGTTTACCTTTCTGCGTCCCTATTGGACAATCCATTATATCAAAATATGATGACATGGTCATTAATTAAGTTTGAAAAAGGTCGCCGTTGTGGCCGAATTGCCAGTAATTTATACATTTGTGATTTCCCAGAAAAACGTGGAGATCCTTAGTATCCTCACTGCATTTCATTTTTTGTGTATTTGTAGCTTTACAACTCCTTAATCGTCTACTTATTGGAGTTTTTTATAATGCATTGTTTTTTCTTCTCCCCCAAAATATATATATGTCAAAAGCTTTTGCTAAGGAATTTTTGTGGAGTTTGAAAAAATGCACTACCGCATTGGAAGTACTGAATAAATCTACTTGACTGCATGTTATATGAGAACATTTTACCTTGAAAAATTTACCAAGTGCGATATAGTCCAATCCATCTGAACAATTGAAAACAACACACTGCTTCGCCACAGCTTTTGCCAGGTCCTTTGTGGTTTCTGTTTTGCCAGTTCCCGCAGGACCCTCAGGGGCTCCTCCTGTTAAAAAATATCAAATTATTCGTATCTGTACTGTCAAAAAATTGACCATAGACACCGAAATTTGTATACCTTAATTCTATACGAAAAACTGCTGAGTAAGGATACTGATAGCTTTTAAACCATGCGGTACATGTGTACATAAGTTATTATATATTTCATTACCCAAATGTAGGTGCAGAGCTCCAAACAAGGTCCTATAGCACCTATCAGTAAGAGGAGTTACCACCAATCTAGCGGTGTTACCCAGGTACTCATATCCGTATTTTAAGGTGGAGTTAATCATGGATGTAATCAGTTGTTTATCCTACAATTGCGAAGTTGGATTAATCGAAATAAAAATCTGCGGGAAACGGAGGAGTTACCTGCCAATAGTATCGCAACTGACACAGCCATTTGAAATCGTGGACATTACTGACTTCTTGTTCCACTAAACCTTGCAAAACGTCTCTTGCGTGTACGTCAAGTACCACCAACGCAGCTGAAAATTGTCGAAAAAGTTAAAGGTCCATGTACGACTTTCATGCTAACTAGTTCCTTGGCTGTTAAAATTGCTGATCACAATCGATTGCTGACTACGTTTATAATGATGTCAAGCATTGAAGGTAAGCAATGCATTATTTTCATATAATTTCGGCAATGAGAGACTAAGCTAAACATGGTGAAAGTGCACGATACTGCCCAAACGCACGTTGCAAAAATCTTGCGCATTCACCACTTTTGAAAATTATATATGAGCGCTTACAGCATTATATTATTTTCTTAAAAACTGGAAGTTATAGAATGAAATTACATTCATGCAACGCGTCTTCCCAACATAGTTTCTGGTAACGTATCAAGAGTGCAATACAATAAATCAACATTCTGAAGAACTGAAAGAATTTGAGTGAGGTATGGAACCTTACCAGCCCCTTTCCTCTTCTGTTGGCCCAACTATTGAAATCTTAGTTTTTTTCTTATCAAACACAAGTAATAAAAATGTACCAGGGTGTTATAGGTTTAAAATATTAACAATGATTATTTTGATAATATATAGTAGAAAACACCAACTTTATCACTCCCTAATCAAATTTGCAGCATAAAAATAACACATGTTGCAATTACAGCATATCAACCTATTTTCATTTCAATACAAAATAAGTATATAACGCATAGGTGGCTGTGAAAAATAAAAGCCACGACAATTGTTTTTATTAATCACAGCTGTCAGAATACGTTTAAAATAGTTTTGGGTAGTTAAGGTTTTTAAAATGTGGAGAGGAAAAGTTATTAGATAGAAAATTCGGTTACTGATAATTAAATTTTTTAATTTTGGGAAATCAAACTCAGATATTGCAACTTTGTTAGACTTATCGCGGTACAGTGCGAGAAATATTGTTAGAAGATATAACGTACCTGGTTCAGTTAGTATTAAGCCACGATATGTGAAAAAAAGTAATATCACAAATGCCGACCGAAGAGCATTAAGAAGAATGATCGTGAAAAACAGGCGTGCCAATTATTTACAATTAAGTGCTCTGTGCTCTATGGAGTGACGGTGTTGGGAGAAGAATTTCGAGGTCCACAACTCATAGAGAGGCACACAAACTGGAATTTTGCACTTGCAAGGTAAGTTTTATTATAAAAAAAAGCGAAGTAATAACCCTAAAGTTGCACAACTTGTTTATAGGCGAAAGAAAAGCCACTATTAACTCCACTGCAAAATAAAAATCGACTTAGATGGGCTAAAGAACAGAGACAATGGACACCTCAACAATGCTGAGCAATACAATGGAGTGATGAGGCCCGATTCGAAGTTTGTGTTGGTGACAGTCGCAGTAGAGTTATTGACTTATGTTGACTGTCTGAAAAGTGAAATTTACAGCATCCATTACGGTCTGGGGCAGTATGTCATCAAAAGGAGTAGGAAAACTTCATTTTATTGATGGAAATGTGGATACAAACAAATATTTGGCAATTTTAGAAGAATCTCTTTTACCAGTGATGGAAGAATGTTTGACATCCGGCCAAGATTTTGTGTTTCAGCAAGATGGTGCAGCGTGCCATACCTCAAAAAAGGCTATAAATGGATGGAAGAAAATAACGTACCACTTTTGAAATGGGTTTCTAGCAGTCCAGATCTGTCACCTATTGAAACTTTGTGGCACGAGATAAAAAAGGTTCTACGACAACATCCTGCTCGTACAATCACCGCACTGAGACAAAAGCTTCAAGAAATCTGGGATTGTTTTGCACCGAATTTTTGCCAAAACTTGGTTAACACTATGCCCCAAAGAATTTCAGCCGTAATAAAAGATAAAGGTGATGTTACCCAATGGTAATCTTTCAATTGTTGCTTTGTTAACTTCGCGCATTTATTCGCACATTGTTTATTTGTTCAGATGTCTATTAGTTATAGGTCTAAGTAAGTTCAAATATGTATTTTTTACGACTAGAGTGTATCTAAAATGTTTTTGAGAAAATAAATCGTTTTAGAAGTAAATAGTTTCGTCATGTTTAGTTTATAAAGGCATATTTTGGTACAAATCTTGAAGTGGACCAACTGAAGTGGGAAGGGGCTCGTATGTAACATTTGAATCTTATCCTTGTTTTCATATCGATAATTCCCCATGTTTATCTGACCAATGAAACCACATGTATTAAGGTGTACTGAAGGTTACCGTTGTGACCTTAACGTATACACTTAAGAAGAATTTCGAACGCATGTCGTTTTTGTGGCCATCTATGGCCGCGGGTTATGGAACTTAATGTTCTATTTTGGTTAATTTATGTAAAATAAAAAGCTTGCTAAAAAGACATTGCTTAACCGCTGTTTCTATTAAGATGATGAGCACGTTGGTTTTACAACGTTACTATATTGACAATATATCAGTTTGTAAGAAATGTATATTGTATATATACTAAGTGACATATAAATCCGAACACCCAGTTTAAATGGTTTTATTTTAATAAAAGTTGGTGAATGTATTTATCTTACTGTAAATAACAAGTGAAAAAATTTTCAGCCTTATCAGTTGGACATTCCGGTTTTTATACTGCTATTTTAATTCACTAACGCTCTAAAAATGAATATTTCAGCCGCAGTAAAGAATCAACGTTGGCGGATTTTGGTTCTTGACATCCTTTACGATCGGTTACGATGCCTAGAGTATGGAGACCTGTACGATTTCGTCAACTTAGTGAGTTTGATAGGGGCCGTATAGTGGGACTTCGGGAAGCTGGACTTTCTTTTCGGGCAATTGCAGTTAGAGTGCAAAGAAGTGTAGACACTGTGGTTAGGTGTTGTCAGGCATGGCTTCGAGAAGGCCGTACGCAAAGAGCAAGGGGCACTGGACGCCGCCGTAGAACAACAGACCGTGAAGATCGCCGCCTAAGATTATTGGCCTTAAGGGACCGTTTCTTCACTACCAGGTTCATTGCAAATGAATGGTTTGCAGAACACGGAAGACCTATTGGCATGCGAAGTATTTACCGACGAATGAGAAGTTTTGGCTTGTTTTCATACCGGCCACACTGGGTCCTCCCTTTAACTCGAGAACACCGACGTAATCGCCTTGAGTGGTGCAGACAACGGTCACTCTGGGATCAGGAATGGAACAGTATTGTCTTTAGTGACGAGTCTCGATTTTGTTTAGGCATGCACGGTGGTCGTGCCAGGGTTAGAAGGCGACGTGGTGAAAGGAGGAATCCACAGTTTTTTGTTGAAAGACATGTTCATCACACTGTTGGAGTTATGGTTTGGGGTGCTATAGCTTATGGTTCCAGGTCACCTTTAATCTTCATCAGAGGTCACATGAACGCGCAGCGTTATATCCACGAAGTTCTAGAACCCCATCTTTTACCCTATCTTGACATCCTGGCAGATCCAACTTTCCAACAATATAATGCCCGACCACATGTTGCAAGAGTCACAATAGACTTCTTTCAACATAATGATGTCACATTGTTACCATGGCCACCAAGATCTCCCGACTTATCCCCAATTGAGCACGTGTGGGATATGATGGGTAGGAGATTGCTCAATTTGCAACGTCCTCCTCAGACTCTAGAAGCACTTCGAGAGGAGTTGGTGGTTACCTGGAATGAGATACCACAGGAGGACATTGACCACCTGATCAGAAGCATGCCTAGGCGCGTTGGAGAATGCGTAGCACATCAGGGTGCATCCACACATTATTAAAGGTCAAAGGGCTTTAAAGCAGTGCAATCATTTTGAAATTTTTATCATTTACTTATTATGCTTCATTAAGTAGTTATACAAAATTTTATTAAAATAAAACCATTTAAACTGGGTGTTCGGATTTATATGTCACTTAGTATACATGGTATGGTATGTTTTTTAATACAGAAAAAATATTTTATTTGAATATCCGTTGCAACCCTAAAAATAACTGACCGACTCTCCGATCTAAACTTACACAGAGTTATCCTATTTCCAGGACCCAAGTGTCCTCTAACAAGATCTGCGACCTTAGCTAGCTGCATATTCCACTTATCTAAATAAGCTTTTAGCGCGTCCGTACTGACGTTGATCGCTTGTGTAGATTCTGTGGTCCAATATGTGCAACTGACAGCTATCACACACTGACCCGGCCATTTCAGGACCCATCTACGCAAGAAAAAAATAAGAATAAAAAATTCTGTAAGGATGCCCTCAATAAATTGACGAGAAAAAGACATTCTTCCCTATACAATCTGTGGCGTCTGAGCATTCTCGTGAAATAGGTTTTCATTTCACACTTGACACACGTCAAGAGACTTATGAATCGTATGAGCCACACGATGGTTTAGAATCTGTTACGAAGGCTCAAGAGCTCCTTAATGACCAACGCCACACATGTGAGCTGGAACACATAGGAAATTACATTATTATCATTTCCCAATGTCAGACCGTGTGGCTTGCCAATATACTTACTGGTCTCTAGGCTTCTTCGTATAATCTTCTATAGCTTCACCAACCAAGAAGTGAACGGACTTCTTCATGTCAGTCTCCAATTCGACTAACCACTTCTCTACTTGACCTCTGGCCAGAGCTGTCTGAATGACGTCAACAAGTGGCACAATCTCATCTTCGCTGGACTTCATTTCAGAGATGTCCAGATCCTCGGAAAATGTCAAGGCCGCTATTCCTTCAAAGCACTTCTTCAGATGAGGTTGCACTCTATAAATTTCGAGATTTTCAAGATTTTCAAGTTCTTCAAGATTTTCAGGATTTTCAAGATTTTCAAGATTTTCAAGATTTTTCAAGATTTTCAAGTATTTCAAGATTTTCAAGTATTTCAAGATTTTCAGGATTTTCAAGATTTTCAAGATTTTCAAGATTTTCAAGATTTTCAAGATTTTCAAGATCTTCAAGATTTTCAAGATTTTCAAGATTTTCAAGATTTTCAAGATTTTCAAGATTTTCAAGATTTTCAAGATTTTCAAGATTTTCAAGTTTTCAAGATTTTCAAGATTTTCAAGATTTTCAAGATTTTCAAGATTTTCAAGATTTTCAAGATTTTCAAGATTTTCAAGATTTTCAAGATTTTCAAGATTTTCAAGATTTTCAAGATTTTCAAGATTTTCAAGATTTTCAAAATTTTCAAGATTTTCAAGATTTTCAAGATTTTCAAGATTTTCAAGATTTTCAAGATTTTCAAGATTTTCAAGATTTTCAAGATTTTCAAGAGTTTAAAGAGTTTAAAGATTTTAAAGATTTTAAAGATTTGGAAGATTTTCAAGATTTTCAAGATTTTCAAGGTTTTCAAGATTTTCAAGATTTTCAAGATTTTCAAGGTTTCCAAGATTTCCAAGATTTTCAAGCTTTTCAAGATTTTCAAGTTTTCAAAATTTTCAAGATTTTCAGGATTTTCAAGATTTTCTAGATTTTCGAAATTTTAAATTTTAAAGATTTTAAAGATTTGGAAGATTTTCAAGATTTTTAAGTATTTCAAGATTTTCAGGATTTTCAAGATTTTCAAGATTTTCAAGATTTTCAAGATTTTCAAGATTTTCAAGATTTTCAAGATTTTCAAGATTTTCAAGATTTTCAAGATATTCAAGATTTTCAAGATTTTCAAGATTTTCAAGATTTTCAAGATTTTCAAGATTTTCAAGATTTTCAAGATTTTCAAGATTTTCAAGATTTTCAAGAGTTTAAAGAGTTTAAAGATTTTAAAGATTTGGAAGATTTTCAAGATTTTCAAGATTTTCAAGGTTTTCAAGATTTTCAAGATTTTCAAGATTTTCAAGGTTTCCAAGATTTCCAAGATTTTCAAGCTTTTCAAGATTTTCAAGTTTTCAAAATTTTCAAGATTTTCAGGATTTTCAAGATTTTCAAGATTTTCGAGATTTTCAAGATTTTCGAGATTTTCGAGATTTTCAAGATTTTCAAGATTTTCAGGATTTTCAGGATTTTCAAGATTTTCAGGATTTTCAAGATTTTCAGGATTTACAAGATTTTCAAAATTTTCGAGATTTTCAAGATTTTCGAGATTTTCGAGATCTTCGAGATTTTCTAGTTTTTCGAGATTTTCTAGATTTTCGAGATTTTCGAGATTTTCGAGATTTTCGAGATTTTCGAGATTTTCGAGATTTTCGAGATTTTCGAGATTTTCGAGATCTTCAAGATTTTCTAGATTTTCTAGATTTTCGAAATTTCCTAGATTTTCGAGATTTTCGAGATTTTCAAAATTTTCAAGATTTTCGAGATTTTCAAGATTTTCGAGATTTTCGAGATTTTCAGGATTTTCAAGATTTTCAGGATTTTCAAGATTTTCAAGATTTTCAAGATTTTCAGGATTTACAAGATTTTCAAAATTTTCGAGATTTTCAAGATTTTCGAGATTTTCGAGATTTTCGAGATCTTCGAGATTTTCTAGATTTTCGAGATTTTCTAGATTTTCAAGATTTTCAAGATTTTCAGGATTTTCAGGATTTTCAAGATTTTCAGGATTTTCAAGATTTTCAGGAATTACAAGATTTTCAAAATTTTCGAGATTTTCAAGATTTTCGAGATTTTCGAGATTTTCGAGATCTTCGAGATTTTCTAGATTTTCGAGATTTTCTAGATTTTCGAGATTTTCGAGATTTTCGAGATTTTCGAGATTTTCGAGATTTTCGAGATTTTCGAGATCTTCAAGATTTTCTAGATTTTCTAGATTTTCGAGATTTTCGAGATTTTCTAGATTTTCTAGATTTTCGAGATTTTCGAGATTTTCGAGATGTTCGAGATTTTCGAGATTTTCGAGATGTTCGAGATTTTCGAGATTTTCGAAATTTTCGAGATTTTCAAAATTTTCAAGATTTTCAAGATTTTCAGGATTTTCAATATTTTCAAGATTTTCAAGAATTTCAAGATTTTCATGATTTTCAAGATTTTCAGGATTTTCAAGATTTTCGAGATTTTCTAGGTCTTTGGCATTTTCGACATTTTCGAGATTTTCGAGATTTCCGAGATTTTCGATCATTTCTAGATTTTCGAGACTTTCAAAATTTTCGACATTTCCGATATTTTGATTTTTGCGATATTCAAGATTTTCGAGATTTCCAATATTTCTAAGGTTTTCAAGATTTTCGAGATTTTAAAGGTTTTAAAAAATTTTAGATTCTCGAGATTTTCAAGATTTTGATTTTCAAGATTTTCTAGATTTGCGAGATTTGCAAGATTTTCGAGGTTTTCGAGATGTTCGAGATTTTCGGAAGTTTCGAGATTTTTGGGATTTTCGTGATTTTCGAGATTTTAAAAGCTTCCAAAAGAGTCAAGATCTGCACTATGTGCTTCGTCTTCGTAAAGTTACCTTGTTGGATCTTTTGTTTCAGATAGAATCTCTAGCAGCTCGTCATTGGATAAGAAAAAGAATCTTGGGAAATATAATCTCTTCTTCTCCAAATAGTCGTTGAGTCCCTTTTGGATCAAGTCAAGCAAGTTATTGCACTTCTTCAATCTTTCCGCCATCTTATCAATATCCACTACTGACAGAACTCTGGGATCACCAAATACGGTTTTCATTAGATCTCTCCAAATCTACAAAACGTCATTCTTTGCAAAATAGGGTTCAATGCAAGAAAAAATCGTTAGATTTTATTTTGATCAATTTCAGGAGAAAAGTTGAAAAACTATGGAAACAGACTTACGATTTTTGTTGAGAAATAAAGTTTGTACCTTATCAACCGCGCTGAATCTCCTGCCTTCTTCGGGCATTTGCTGCTGAATGTCTGGTGATGAAAATATTGGCTCCAAATACATCCAGGTTGCTTGCACCTTTAACCATTCATCTAGAATTTCTTGAAGCAAGACCAACTTTGCCTCCCAGGAACTGTAAATAATTATTATTTGAATGGTAGTTCACACAGTATCTAAATGGCATCCATCCGTATAGAGCAATAAAGTCAATCTGCGTGACACTTATTTAAGAAAAATTATACTCACAGAATTTCCTTTTCGAATGGTTTAATGTACGGTGAGTTCTTCATAGTTTGAGTCTTGACAATGTGATCGTCTAGTAGTACTTGAATATCGTCTACAGCAGATAGGATGTAAGTACCTGTATCCCTGCAATCAAACATTTATCGGACCGTCACAAAAGGTTCCAACATCAAATGACCATCTTTTTTACCTGTAGATCAACACAGTGAACTCCATATCATGCCACTCGGCCATCATCTTACTGAGGTTCTTCTCCAGATTGTTCTCCTTGGTCGCAGCTTCTGAAATAGCCTCAAACTTCTCCACGTAGTCATCCAGACCGTAATCAATGATTTTCTCTAAGGTTAGATCTGCGTCTAACTTAATGGGGAAGCCTACGATCTCCGAAACTTTTTCCCAGTGACGTTCTTTCATGCCTGGATTTCCAAGTGTCTGGATTATCGGCATATGTTCTTTGAATTCTTCTATTCTTTCTCTTACCTAAAAATCGGAAACATCGTTCGTTTCATAGATTTTAAACCACGGCAGCAAAACTATGTCCACAAAGCGAATGAAATATTCTAACTGCAAAAATGTTAAACGTTCATAAATAGATAAATATGCTCTTTTGCCTGTAGAATAACTTAAACTTAACTTAAAACTGAAATAGAGAAAAAATGCATATATGGGCCTCAAGTACACATATTGAAGAACTTATACGGGATATATACTAAGTGACATATAAATCCGAACACCCAGTTTAAATGGTTTTATTTTAATAACATTTTGTATAAGTACTTAATGAAGCATAATAAGTAAATGATAAAAATTTCAAAATGATTGCACTGCTTTAAAGCCCTTTGACCTTTAATAATGTGTGGATGCACCCTGATGTGCTACGCATTCTCCAACGCGCCTAGGCATGCTTCTGATCAGGTGGTCAATGTCCTCCTGTGGTATCTGATTCCAGGCAACCACCAACTCCTCTCGAAGTGCTTCTAGAGTCTGAGGAGGACGTTGCAAATTGAGCAATCTCCTACCCATCATATCCCACACGTGCTCAATTGGGGATAAGTCGGGAGATCTTGGTGGCCATGGTAACAATGTGACATCATTATGTTGAAAGAAGTCTATTGTGACTCTTGCAACATGTGGTCGGGCATTATCTTGTTGGAAAGTTGGATCTGCCAGGGTGTCAAGATAGGGTAAAAGATGGGGTTCTAGAACTTCGTGGATATAACGCTACCTCTGATGAAGATTAAAGGTGACCTGGAAGCATAAGCTGTAGCACCCCAAACCATAACTCCAACAGTGTGATGAACATGTCTTTCAACAAAAAACTGTGGATTCCTCCTTTCACCACGTCGCCTTCTAACCCTGGCACGACCATCGTGCATGCCTAAACAAAATCTAGACTCGTCACTAAAGACAATACTGTTCCATTCCTGATCCCAGAGTGACCGTTGTCTGCACCACTCAAGGCGATTACGTCGGTGTTCTCGAGTTAAAGGGAGGAGCCAGTGTGGCCGGTATGAAAACAAGCCAAAACTTCTCATTCGTCGGTAAACACTTCGCATGCCAATAGGTCTTCCGTGTTCTGCAAACCATTCATTTGCAATGGACCTGGTAGTGGAGAAACGGTCCCTTAAGGCCAATAATCGTAGGCGGCGATCTTCACGGTCTGTTGTTCTACGGCGGCGTCCAGTGCCCCTTGCTCTTTGCGTACGGCCTTCTCGAAGCCATGCCTGACAACATCTAACCACAGTGTCTACACTTCTTTGCACTCTAACTGCAATTGCCCGAAAAGAAAGTCCAGCTTCCCGAAGTCCCACTATACGGCCCCTATCAAACTCACTAAGTTGACGAAATCGTACAGGTATCCGTACTCTAGGCATCCGATCGTAAAGGATGTCAAGAACCAACATCCGCCAACGTTGATTCTTTACTGCGGCTGAAATATTCATTTTTAGAGCGTTAGTGAATTAAAAAAAAGCAGTATAAAAACCGGAATGTCCAACTGATAAGGCTGAAAATTTTGTCACTAGTTATTTACAGTAAGATAAATACATTCACCAACTTTTATTAAAATAAAACCATTTAAACTGGGTGTTCGGATTTATATGTCACTTAGTATAATATGGTGTTATTAGAAACCCAGCAGGTATACAAATTATTGCATCTCTCACAGGTGTTGACTTAGGTACTATGAACTTAAAATCTTGTTTTTTTTATTATACTGTGACTTTTACAAATTTGAGTGTCCTAAGGACTGACCATTGATCATAAACTATATTTTACTGCTTGCTTACTCAACTAGCAAAGATTTCCTTTATTATAAGCACAATTAATTATAACGTCGGTAAAAGCATAGCCTTAAGCAGTTGCTTATCTTATTCGAAAGTAGATTGAAATATAGCATTCCCTTTTGGTATGTCTGTTCCCAAATTTGTTTGAAAAAGTGCTTATTCTACAAAAACGAACTATTAGATATATATCTAAAAGCAATACTAGAGCTACATGGAGGCCTTTATTTTATGTTCTCAAAATAATGACTGTCGTATCATTTATATTAGAAAAAGCAACTCTCATTTTTTAAAAGTAAATCCTAGAACAATCTCTTAAATTAGTAGTACCTAAATCAATACTTGTGAAAGACTCAATCATTTATAATGGTCTGAAAATTTACAACCCTGATGACACCAAAAGAATTTACAATTTAAATATATTTCGGCGTGGACTCAAAAATTCATTCTTTGTAAAGAATTTATTTACTTGAGATCATTAAGAATGATTGTATTCTTCGGAAAATATTCACATTGTTTTACACATCAATTCATTATTTAAATTTATTGAAGCAAGAGAGCATTTGAAAGACATAAATGTTATCTTATTACTTTAAAAGATCAGCTGTATATTGTCAATTTTTAACTTGATTTCATCTATATCTATCTGTGCTAACGTATTGTGGTTAAGTCAGCAGAAACTATGAATTCACCCATAAAATTAAATTCTTGATGCACACTAAAAGTAGGATCGGACCTAGTACTGAGCCTTGAGGTAGACCCGCGTTTATGTTTAATTCGAAATATGTTCTCTTGATTCTATCAGAATTTGAGATCAACTATTCAAATACATCTTGAACCAGGTGAGCTAAGTTCCACAAAATTCATATTTGTCCATTTCCTTCCATCTTGAACGTCATACGTTCATATTAAAAAAAGTGAATGTGTCACATTTAATGATTTCTTGGAGTATGCTCTTTCACCAAAATTTCAAAAAGTATCGATTTCTGTGATCGTACAAATAACATCGCAGAGGAGAATACATTAATCAATGATGGGAGACATTGAAAGTACTTACAGTCATAGCTAGTTCTGCTGTAGCTGGTTTATCCGAAAACGTCTTCTCCAGCTTATAAATATTCCTATAGTATGTGCCAGTATCCGTTTCTATTTCTTCTGGATCGTACTTTCCTACTCTGGACTTCATCCATAACTCGTACTTGTTCAAGAAGTCAGTTGCGTTATCGTATAACTTTTTGTAAGGCGTCAGCTTATCATGAACCTGCTTCCTCATAGGATATTGTGACAACTCAAAGCCAAAGGAAGCTTCCTCCTCATTGAATCTATCGATGGTTTCCATAGCCTGGACCAGTCTAGAAAAACATTTTTATACGCAAGCAGCCGCGTAGGCAGAAGCTGGAATACCAGGACACCGCGGCTACTATAAAGATTTGTGAAATGCCTAAGGGAAACACTCGTGTTGACATTGTGAGCTGAAGACAACTACGACGGATATCTTCTCTGGGAGGCCACGGGATGTAAGTATGCATAATAAAGTATTATATTAAGCTAAGACACTTTTCAGTTCAATAACAGTGAATCTACACGAAATTGCTCAGTATACTTTTTGGACAAGAGCTGGAAAAGCCATCATCATCAACAGCGAGTACTGCTGATGAATGACATTCAATTCTTATAGAAGGCACTATGACCCACACAGCAAAATGTATAGCAGACCTACTGTATAAACGCATCGACGTTACAGTCATATGTATCATAATTGACCACCTAAATCACCTAATTTGACCCAATTAGATTTTCTCTTCCCTCAAAGCCGACATACCTTTCATTGAGTTTTGTAGCCTTTCTGTGATATCTAGCCAGTTCTTCGATACTGCCATTGTATTGCAGCTCTTCAACCATTTTCGCGTACATTTCCAAGTCTTCATGGAACTTTTGTATCTTCACGGTCAAGAATACTTGGAATTCCTCTATCTTGGAATCCACCATAGCGCGATGTTCCTCCATCACTTTTGGCATGTACAAGTACCTAAAGAAAGCCATTTCTCGAAGACGTTTCATACGGGCGTCCCGTTTTCATCGAGAGGGGAAATAATGGTGACCTTGATCATGACCTTCACAACTACATTCAAGGTCATCTCAAGGTCAAGCGAATATTTTCAGATAGACACCAATTTTACACAGTTATTGGAAAGATGAGCGAATTCTACGTCCGAATATGACCTTGACTATGACTCAGCTAAAGATGCAGAAAACAATTTGATCTAGCAAAAATATTTAACGGCATAGTTGTGAGGGGAGTGGTGGTCACCCACAGGTGACCATGACCATGACCTTCAAGGTCAGCTCAAAATTTTCAAAGAAGACACCTCATTCTTATCCTAGAATTGGAAAAAGCAGGAATGTGACCTTGACTTTGGAGTCAAGGTCGTGTCAATCTTAAATGCTTTTTGTAAGACAACCTCTTATTTTTTATGCCAAAATTGCAGAAAGCAATAAATGTTATGTTTAAACGTGTAAAATAATGACATTGAAGGTCATGTTCAAGATTAACAACAAGCTGATTTTCGATGTAATAGTCAAGGTCATCGTCAACGTCATCACGAAGGTCGTGGTCAAAATCATTGCCAAGGACATGGTCATGACCATGGTCAATTCAATGTTAAAATCAATGCCAAAGTCAATGTCATTGTCAAGTTCAATTTCAAGGTATATGTCAAGTTTAATGTCGAGGTCAATGTCAAGTTCAATGTCAAGGTCGATGTCAATGTCAAGGTCAATGTCAAGCTCAATGGCAAGGTCAAGCTCAATGTCAGTGTCAAAGTCCATGTATTTGTTAAGGTCAAGATCAAGGTCATGATTAATGCCATAGTCACTGTCAACGTCATTGTTATGGCCATGGTCAAGGTCATTGTGAAAGTCATATTCAATGTAATTGTCAAGGTCGTTATCAATGTGACCTATGGGTGACCCTAGCAAGGCTCACAATTAGGCTGTTGAATATTTTTGCTAGATCAAATTGTTTTTAATGGTTTGATTTGGTCCTCAAATGGCCTTGAAACTCATGATGACTAATAGCTCTGATCATTTATTACAGTAAGTAGTAGCAGTAAGATTGTTAAATGTTGAGATCGCGCTGAAAAGCTGAAAACTTTTATAGAAAATTTTAGAATTATTAAAAGGTCAAGATCAGATCCTTTTTAAGTTGCATCTGTAAGACAACCTCTTGATTTTTATGTCAATTGCAGATTTATATCCAAATGAGTGAAATTTGACATGACCTTTAGATCAGAATCATGGTGAAGGTTACCTTTTGGTGACCATAGCAAGGTTTACAACTGTGCTGTCGAACATTTTTCCTAGAGCAAATTGTTTTCAAAGTTAAAGGGCCTTGAAGGTCATGGTGATAGTCATAGTCAAGGTCAGATCCGGACGTAAAATTTTGTTCTCTTACCAAATCCGGCGTTAAGAACGGGGAAGTCTTATTTGAAAATATTCGCTCCACCTTAAATGAAGGTCGTAGCCAAGGTCATGGTCAAGGTTACCATCATTCTATCCCATTTAAACCCTATAGCTTTTGTATGGTACTTTTTCCTAATGTGCGTATTTTCCTAAATATTTACGTGGGTAGATTGAACTGGGACACCCCAATATGAACCTTAACAATATCTTCTTTCAACAACATAAGACCAATAAAAAGGTGGCTTGGCAAGATTATCGACTAGCATCTTCCAAAACTTGATCCAAGCAATCCTACCAAGAGTATATTTTACCATTGGAAGGCGTTATTGTTGACTTTCATCTCAACAGGTGTGAAAATAATGTGGTCCGCAAGAAACAATATGTATGTCATCACATCTCTTAATCTGTCTTCCATGGCTGGCAACGTTTTGGTTTCAACTTCTTCGACAAATTTTATCAGAGCCATCAGACTTGCGGTATCTTCGGGTACGGTCAGAACTTTGTCTGAGATCGTCTGATACTCTTCACCCAGGCTGAAATTATCCACTACGTTATAAAAATCTGAGTTCCATCATAGTTTTTCGTAATATTCAAGCAAAATGTGTGACGGGATATCACTACACTTATAAAGTTGAAAAAAGGTTAGATAGCTCGAATTTCAAATTGACTAGTGTTACTAAAATATAGAATAAGAAGAAATCTCGACATCCTAGGAACATTCACATCGGTCAGTTCTCAAGAAGGCTCGACAAATTGAGAAGCAAAAGTCTGACGGGTCCTTCTAGCAGGTCTCATTGAAAAAGCTTAGAGAAGCCAAGTCCCGTGATATATCAGTATTGTTTAAATAATGCTAGAAATAACTTACGACTTGCACATTTGTTGATAATGCTTGATACAATGTTGAATTAAAGCATCCTTTAGATTATCTGCCTGAAGCTCCAGAGCCTTGATAAGCTCCAGTCTGTTCATATCGTACATCTCCATACGCACAACATGTTCAGTTGCAAACGGGATCCTAGAATTTTTTCAAATAATCTCATCTGTAAGCATTCGCAATTCAACAGATGTTTAGTATAAGCATCATATTTTAGTATCAAAATGCCAGTTGAAGTTCCAAGGTGGATACTGGGCCATCTTATACAATTTTTTATTTTTACAGAAGTCCAAATGCCAGGGCACCGCGGCTCCTATGAGGAGCTTAAAGAAACTTTTTTATTCCGAATTTTGAAAAGCCCAAGGTAAATAGAACTGAGAAAAGTCTCCTGATGTAGATTATTCCACAATCTTGATACCCTGGGCATAAAGGAGCAGTCGTATTGGCCAGTTCTGGATGTAATGAGTGATTTTTTTGCTAGTATCTTTTTGGCAACACTGTTTTTGACAGATGACGCGTGAATCGTGTCTTGTGTCATTGTCAAACTTATTCAGTTTGGTCTATAATTTAACCATGAATCGACTTACGAACGAACAACGCTTGCAAATTATTGAATTTTACTATCAAAATTCATGCTCGGTTAAGAGAGTGCATCGAGCACTGCTTCCAATTTTTGGGCAATTTGGTCGGCCTACTGAGGGAGCTATTCGGAAGCTTGTGACTAAATTTCGAACCCAGTTTACATTATTGGATATTAAACCACCAACACGCAGACGTACAGTGAGGACTGAAGAAAATATTGCGGCTGTATCCGCCAGTTTTAGTAATGACCGTGAAATGTCGATTCGCCGCCGTTCGCAGCAATTGGGCCTCTGTTACTCCACTACGTGGTAAATTTTGCGACAGGATTTGGGTGTAAAACCTTATATGATACAGCTGGTGCAAGAATTGAAGCCCACGACCTCCCACAACGTTTCCAATTTGGTGAATGGGCGCTGGCAAAATTGGAGGAAGATCCACATTTTTATCGAAAAATTGTGTTCAGCGACGAAGCTCATTTCTGGTTGAATGGGTACGTTAACAAGCAAAATTGCCGCATCTGGAGTGAAGACCAGCCAGAAGCATTGCAAGAGCTACCAATGCATCCCGAAAAAATCACTGTTTGGTGTGGATTATGGGCCGGTGACATCATCGGGCCGTACTTCTTCAAAGACGACAATGGCCGGAACGTAACTGTGAATGGCGAGCGCTAACGTGCGATGATAACAAACTTTTTTTTGCCCAAAATGGAAGAGCTGCACTTGGCTGACATGTGGTTTCAACAAGACGGTGCCACATGCCACACCGCACACGACACAATGGCCCTATTGAGAGGCGAGTTCGGTGAACAGTTTATCTCACGTTTTGGGCCCGTCGATTGGCCGCCTAGATCGTGTGATTTAACGCCGTTGGACTATTTCTTGTAGGGCCATGTTAAGGCTAATATCTACAGGGATAAACCAGCAACGATTGACGCACTGGAAGCCAATATTGAAGCATTTATTCGTGAGATACCGGCCGATATGTTGGAGAGAGTGTGCCAAAATTGGACCTTGCGCATGGGCCATCTAAAGCAGAGCCGCGGCCAACATTTACATGAAATAATCTTTAAACATTAAATTATATCGACCGTTCTTTTGACTCAAATAAAGATTTAATCGTTTTTTCAAATTTTTTGTGTTTTCAAATCCTATACCTCTTAAAAATTCACCCGTTACAAAGTTCTTCTTAGCCCTAAACAAATAGCCTAGCTTTTTCCTTAATACACTATTTTGAAGCTCATATACAATTTTAGAATACAACGCTTACAATCCTTCAAAATAGCAGCCAAAGAGCGTGTTTGTACAATAACTCGCTCATACTTCAACAACTTAATCATCAAAACGCTATAATATGGTTTGAATGAATATTCAAAAAATAAATATTTCGATTAAAAAAAAGAATTGTCATTCTCTATAAATTTAAATACTTCGAAAGATAATCAACTTCAATTTATATACATTACTCATAAGGAACTTAATGACGCATCACAGAACTCCCCACTCCATTTAAGATAAAATCAAAGATGGCGTCGAGTCTCCACGCTAAAACATTCAATTGTCACATTCAAATAAACTATAGTATCCATGTGTCAATTTCATTAATCCGAATTTCAACATGCTCAATTTATCATGTTAGAAAACAAATGAAAGAGAAGAAAGAAAATAATTGCAAATTTTGTTGTCTACCATTTATTTACTAGTCAACTAGCTAAAGCACTGCCCCCTTTACCTTTCACACAACGTCTTATACTTCAAAATTTGCTCGACATAATCGTCAAAATTGTGCTCGTACGAGATAAAATTATTCACGTATTCTTCTGCCTTTCCATTTATCAACGAAAGAAATTCATCGAAATCTTGTACTCGGAGTTCAGGACCAATCCTCTGCTCGTCAAGTACTTCCTTAATTTGCTTTTTGTATACCTCAATTATTTCCTCTGGTATTATTGGCTAAAAAAAATGCATATATTACGTAAATTGTTATTAAAGGTATGCGCCCATTCATCCGCATCATACTATCCGCACTGAACGGCATAATTTATAGAACAGCGCCCACTGTATCCGCAGCAATCGGATATTTTCAGTGTAACGTTTGGTTTTCAATCCATGATCGAAAATTCACATGGCGCATTGGAATTGCTTTATCTAAGAGAATCTCTATTTAGTTTTCCGATATTCAAATGCATACTGTCCGTTCGAAGCGGAATGCGTGCGGATATATCAGTAGACGCGTACCTTAACAGATCCTTACCTTTAGAAAATCCTCATTTCCCCAGTCAAGGTAAAGTTTCGTTTCCAATCTGGGTATATCTGTCACAGCTTCGACAATGAGATCAATAAGACCTATAAGAATGTCTCTGAAACTTTTGAAGGTTGGATCGAAAGCTAAAATGTTCGCTCTCTGTATTAGTTTGATTTGGAATCCCTTATTTGAATACTGAAAATATAAATTAAATGTTCGTGTATTCATTACGAAGCTAGATCCAAATTAGATTGGATTACTGTAATTATACGAGGTGTGGCAGAGACGTATTGAGAGTGACAACACTGCACGCGATCTGGCAACACTGCGCTGTTGTCTTTAATAGGGCTCAATAGGAGTTTCGATTCTGTTCAAAATGCTACTAATGCGGTTGTGGTTTCTCGGCAAGTATGACATTTGGAAAGTTGAAACAGGCGTATGGGGAACATTTCTTATATTGAGCTCAAGTTTTTCGCTGAAGCAAATAATTTTTGAAAGGCGGAAATCACGTTGAAGGTGGATTTCAACTTCGACAACATCGAAAGTGTGAACATTCTTACAAGATCAAACCGTTGTTTAACTTTAGGAATAATGAGTGACCAATTATACTAAGTGACATATAAATCCGAACACCCAGTTTAAATGGTTTTATTTTAATAAAAGTTGGTGAATGTATTTATCTTACTGTAAATAACAAGTGAAAAAATTTTCAGCCTTATCAGTTGGACATTCCGGATTTTATACTGCTTTTTTTAAATTCACTAACGCTCTAAAAATGAATATTTCAACCGCAGTAAAGAATCAACGTTGGCGGATTTTGGTTCTTGACATCCTTTACGATCGGTTACGATGCCTAGAGTACGGAGACCTGTACGATTTCGTCAACTTAGTGAGTTTGATAGGGGCCGTATAGTGGGACTTCGGGAAGCTGGACTTTCTTTTCGGGCAATTGCAGTTATAGTGCAAAGAAGTGTAGACACTGTGGTTAGGTGTTGTCAGGCATGGCTTCGAGAAGACCGTACGCAAAGAGCAAGGGGCACTGGACGCCGCCGTAGAACAACAGACCGTGAAGATCGCCGCCTAAGATTATTGGCCTTAAGGGACCGTTTCTCCACTACCAGGTCAATTGCAAATGAATGGTTTGCAGAACACGGAAGACCTATTGGCATGCGAAGTGTTTACCGACGAATGAGAAGTTTTGGCTTGTTTTCATACCGGCCACACTGGGTCCTCCCTTTAACTCGAGAACACCGACGTAATCGCCTTGAGTGGTGCAGATAACGGTCACTCTGGGATCAGGAATGGAACAGTATTGTCTTTAGTGACGAGTCTCGATTTTGTTTAGGCATGCACGATGGTCGTGCCAGGGTTAGAAGGCGACGTGGTGAAAGGAGGAATCCACAGCTTTTTGTTGAAAGACATGTTCATCACACTGTTCGAGTTATGGTTTGGGGTGCTATAGCTTATGATTCCAGGTCACCTTTAATCTTCATCAGAGGTAACATTAACGCGCAGCGTTATATCCACGAAGTTCTAGAACCCCATCTTTTACTCTATCTTGACACCCTGGCAGATCCAACCTTCCAACAAGATAATGCCCGACCACATGTTGCAAGAGTCACAATAGACTTCTTCCAACATAATGATGTCACATTGTTAAAGGGCCACCAAGATCTCCCGACTTATCCCCAATTGAGCACGTGTGGGATATGATGGGTAGGAGATTGCTCAATTTGCAACGTCCTCCTCAGACTCTAGAAACACTTCGAGAGGAGTTGATGGTTGCCTGGAATGAGATACCACAGGAGGACATTGATCACCAGATCAGAAGCATGCCTAGGCGCGTTGGAGAATGCGTAGCACATCAGGGTGCATCCACACATTACTAAAGGTCAAAGGGCTTTAAAGCAGTGCAATCATTTTGAAATTTTTATCATTTACTTATTATGCTTCATTAAGTACTTATACAAAATTTTATTAAAATAAAACCATTTAAACTGGGTGTTCGGATTTATATGTCACTTAGTATAAATATGAACAGATTTACCGTTCTTCAAATTTTGACTGAACACGCATGCGAAATATATGTAACAAAATGGTGCCGAAAGACTTCGCAATTGAGCAGAATTCTTGACCTCGAAAGGTATTCAAGAGGTTCCCCAACCCCCCTATTCACGTGATCTCAGTTCCTATGACTTTTTCCTTTTTCTAACATTGAAAAGTGTCCTAATAAAGTATGCCGAACATGCTGTGGGTAATACCGGTTGAAGACTTCCGGTGCTGCTACCAAGACTGAGACCAAGTTCTCCATCAGTGTGTAGCTACTGAAGGGCATAATATTGACGTTTGTAAAAAATAAAAACTTTGATAAATAAATATCAGTCTCATAAACGCTACATATTTATTGTCGCCCCATATACATTGGCTAATTAGCTGTATCCAGCTTTGATCCTTTAATCAGGCTAAATATCCCTGATTTCAAATAGTTGAAATCTTATCATTGTCAAGCCTTTGCAGAGACAGAAAAAGTGAACTAGTGTTTCTGCGTGCTCTTTGCAGAACCACCATACAGGGTTTGTCCGTAAAGTAATAGGACCGAGTCGATTTAAAAAAATTTATTGAGCGAATCGTTACAATTCTTTAAAAACTTTCAAAATAGGCTCATTCTGCGTCGATGCAGCGCTGCCAACGCGATTTCCAAGCATTGAAGGCGTCACGGAAGGCATTCTCCGGAACAGCCTTGCGAGTCGCGGTGCATGCCGGACAAACCCTGTATAACCCCTTTTTACTAAGCCCAAGAGCCGCACATGGAGGTTCATACGACAACGTCCTGGTAGGAGACCCGGTATCGCCTAATGACCTTACCAAATCTTAAAAAAAGTTTACCTATCTTTGCCCTAATTAGTCGTTCGACCATTCTAAGGACTACGTCCAGGTTAAAAACTACGTCTAAGACAAACAATGTACAAAACAGATGACTGCAAAGCAAATGCCACATGATCACTATTTACTGCGATCCGTTATTATTTAACATGGAATGTGATGTGTATTGACCGTGCAGCCTAAATGCCAATAATTATTGATCTACAGTGCTGGCTAAAGTCTCTCGATTGTAATAAACATCTTTATGCTGAAGATTTAAAAATTTTTCTATCTATTACAAGTATGAGGGACCGTCATATTTTATAGATGGAATTGGATAATATTCAATCTTGGTATCAAGTCAAGCTTGTTTTGAATGTAAAAAAGTGTAAATAAAAATGCTGAAGTGTGGTCGTTTGTGCTGGGACAGAGGAATCACATAAATGGGCTATCCTAAAAGGGCATTTAGGATGTATCTTTAGACTGTAGAAGAGCATTTGAGACTATAGATAGGGAAAAATTGTTATTGAAATTGCGTCACTATGGCTTTAAAGGATCAGTATTACACAGTTTACAAAATTATTTAGTTAATAGAAGTCAAAAAATTAAATTTGGAAATATTATGTCAAGTGTTCAAAATATATCAGTAGGGGTGCCACAGGGGAGTGAATTAGGGCGATTACTGTTTATTATTTATATACATGATATCTCTGACATTTTAGAACACTGCAAAATTCAAATATTTGTGGACGATACACGCGCATCGAAGATGAGAAACAGATGCATTTACTGACAGCTCAGTTTTTTTGGAAAAACGCTCAGACCTGTCAATTTTGTTTTCGAGGGGGCACAAGTTTGGCAAAAAATCACGTTAAGGCGTGCAGCCCTCTGGGCGGGGGTGACACCAACCCTAAAATTTCAAATGGAGAGGGGGGTCGAGTAATACCTGATTTTAAAGGTCTTTCAATTCCTTTTATAATGATGTAAAATACATGAGCTTCAGTTCAGCAGTTTTAGACTTTAATAGGTACATCAGATTAGTTTGTACTACTTTCAGAAGAAATTTGACTAAAAGAATTTACTGAATAAGTAAATGCTTTTCTTCACTTCACCCATGGTTTGTTTATCATTTTGTTGTTTAAAATAGCAAATGTTGAAAATAGCTATTGGAGCGTTTTTTGTGGCAAAAAAGTTATTTCTTGAAGAAATATCAGGCACTTATTTTAAATAGGAATTTAGTACATATACTAAGTGACATATAAATCCGAACACCCAGTTTAAATGGTTTTATTTTAATAAAATTTTGTATAAGTACTTAATGAAGCATAATAAGTAAATGATAAAAATGATTGCACTGCTTTAAAGCCCTTTGACCTTTAATAATGTGTGGATGCACCCTGATGTGCTACGCATTCTCCAATGCGCCTAGGCATGCTTCTGGTGGTCAATGTCCTCCTGTGGTATCTCATTCCAGGCAACCACCAACTCCTCTCGAAGTGCTTCTAGAGTCTGAGGAGGACGTTGCAGCTTGAGCAATCTCCTACCCATCATATCCCACACGTGCTCAATTGGGGATAAGTCGGGAGATCTTGGTGGCCATGGTAACAATGTGACATCATTATGTTGAAAGAAGTCTATTGTGACTCTTGCAACATGTGGTCGGGCATTATCTTGTTGGAAAGTTGGATCTGCCAGGGTGTCAAGATAGGGTAAAAGATGGGGTTCTAGAACTTCGTGGATATAACGCTGCGCGTTCATGTTACCTCTGATGAAGATTAAAGGTGACCTGGAACCATAAGCTATAGCACCCCAAACCATAACTCCAACAGTGTGATGAACATGTCTTTCAACAAAAAACTGTGGATTCCTCCTTTCACCACGTCGCCTTCTAACCCTGGCACGACCATCGTGCATGCCTAAACAAAATCGAGACTCGTCACTAAAGACAATACTGTTCCATTCCAGATCCCAGAGTGACCGTTGTCTGCACCACTCAAGGCGATTACGTCGGTGTTCTCGAGTTAAAGGGAGGACCCAGTGTGGCCGGTATGAAAACAAGCCAAAACTTCTCATTCGTCGGTAAACACTTTGCATGCCAAGAGGTCTTCCGTGTTCTGCAAACCATTCATTTGCAATGGACCTGGTAGTGGAGAAACGGTCTCTTAATGCCAATAATCTTAAGGCGGCGATCTTCACGGTCTGTTGTTCTACGGCGGCGTCCAGTGCCCCTTGCTCTTTGCGTACGGCCTTCTCGAAGCCATGCCTGACAACACCTAACCACAGTGTCTACACTTCTTTGCACTCTAACTGCAATTGCCCGAAAAGAAAGTCCAGCTTCCCGAAGTCCCACTATACGGCCCCTATCAAACTCACTAACTTGACGAAATCGTACAGGTCTCCGTACTCTGGGCATCGTAACCGATCGTAAAGGATGTCAAGAACCAAAATCCGCCAACGTTGATCCTTTACTGCGGCTGAAATATTCATTTTTAGAGCGTTAGTGAATTAAAAAAAAAGCAGTATAGAAACCGGAATGTCCAACTGATAAGGCTGAAAATTTTTTCACTTGTTATTTACAGTAAGATAAATACATTCACCAACTTTTATTAAAATAAAACCATTTAAACTGGGTGTTCGGATGTCACTTAGTATAATTGTCGTCACTACGTTGCCTATCAACGACAGTGGGGGAGCCTATATTTCCCACTATTCCTAACACGCTTCTGTCTGTCGTACACGTGTAAATCTAAAAGGAAAAATGACCTTCTCCAGCACTGCATAAGGTTACGTATAAATCCACTGACACAGATGGAATCATCAGTAAAAACTGATCGTGTGACATCCGCTCAGTACAAAATAGCTATTGAAGAACTCACCTTAACATCAGTTATATACTTGACATAGTCGTAGAGCGACTTCATGCAGAGCATTTGCAAGTGATGCGTCATAATAGCAGCTACAGCATTGTAGAAAGACACCACTTTCCTCATCTTACTAGGATCTGGCAGTTTGCCTTTTTTATTTCCTTGCAAAAACACGTCCGTCACTTGGTAAAAATACTGGTCCATAAAGGTAGCTTTGCATTTTTCGATGTGCTTATTCGCCATATACTTGAATTCCTGTAGGTCGAAAGCGCCCTCATGTTCCATCAGTTCGGCTGTATTTATCAGTCTCAAATGTCTGAAATAATAGTTATACAGGGCGTTGAACAGTGGAATTAAACTGTAATCGAATTTAAAAATCTTTGAGGTGAAATTAAAAAGAACACTTTATAAATACCCAAAATTCACAGCGCGGTAATTATGACTGGCAAGAATTGATTCAAAAAATGTGTGTAAGAACAGCTATACAAAACTAACATTGCAGGAATTATGCTAAATAAATCTTCATCAAACAAAAAATTAGGAACAGATTGTTACCGAAAGTCTTAACGAACTAACAAGTTTGAAATGCATGTATCATTCATATAAATCTAGAAGGGAATTTGATTTTCCTTTGAGTTCTAATCACTGGTCAACACTGGTTTTGCCACACGAACTTTAACAGCTAATTTTGTTTTATCAGTCTACCCTCATTATTACATGACAGCTGTCATATGTCTATTAGCCTCATATTTGTTGTGATACGGTAATACTCATAACTAGTACTACGGCAGTAAATTAACAGAAACGCTTCCAAGTAAATCCTTATAAAAAAATTTGTTGTTGAATTTGAACACTTTTTGTGATTTATTAACCCTGTGAATATGTCGAGGAAGTGTAATAATGATCCTAACCCTTTTTGTTATGTCTGCGGAGAACTAACATTCAAAAAACAACGACGAAATTTTACGAATCTTGTGTTGGAGTGTTATCACCAATGTTTTGGTTTTTCTGTCGCCCATCAAGACAAATCCTGGGCCCCTCATGTCTGTTGCTTAACGTGTGTGAAAAATTTAACTGACTGGAAGAAAGGTGCACGACCTATGCCGTTTGCTGTACCCATGATATGGACTGAACAGCGAGATCACGTTTCAGATTGCTATTTTTGTCTCACAGACATAAAAGGTATAAATTACAAGAAAAAAACCACAGTTATTTACCCTAACTTATCTTCGGCTATAAGACCAGTCTCTCACTGTAAAAAATTGCCAGAACTAATACCAGTTGCAACTACGTCTGTTGAGAACAATTCACAACCGTCCACTTCAGGTGAATGTGTTGACGAGGACGATAACTTTGAGTTAAAAGGAATTGTAAACGAGCCACATTTGATAACTCAAGGAGACCTAAATGATTTGGTTCGGGATTTAACTTTGTCAAAAAAGCAGTCAGAACTATTAGGATCACGTCTAAAAGAATGGAATTTGCTACATCATAATACAAAAGTTAGCTATTTTCGAAACCGTGATCAACACTTCAGAACATATTTTTCTCAGGATGGAGATTTGGTGTTTTGCAATAACATAAATGAGATTATGAAAATGTTGGACATAGATTATGATCTCTCTCAGTGGCGTTTATTCATTGATTCTTCGAAAGCAAGTCTAAAAGCAGTGTTATTGCATAATGGAAATAAGCTTCCGTCTGTACCTTTGGCCCATGCTGCAAATATGAAAGAAACCTATGAAAATATGAAACTTTTACTTGAAAAAATAAATTACAGTACATATTCCTTCAAAATCTGCGGTAATCTTAAAGTTGTTGCACTATTACTTGGACTTCAGCTGAGTTGTACAAAGTTTTGCTGCTTTTTATGTGAATGGGATAGCCGAGACAGAACTAATCACTATATAAAAAAAAACATGGCCTACGCGTGCATCGTTAGTTCCTGGGCAAAAAAACGTAAAGTATTTACCCCTTGTACAGCCAAATAATGTGCTTCTACCACAATTGCATATCAAATTAGGATTAATACAAATTTTTGTGAAGGCAATGGATCGCAATGGGAGTGGATTTTTGTATCTAAAAGAAAAATTCCCTAAAATAAGTGATGCAAAGATAAAAGAGGGTATTTTTGTTGGCCCTCAAATTAGGGAGTTAATAAAAGATTCAAGATTTGAAGAAAAATTAAGCGATTTAGAAACATCTGCATGGATCTGTTGTTTCAAATTTTTTGGCTAACCACAAGAGTGACAGCTACAGAGAGTTGGTTAGCGAGCTATTATTGTCATATCAAGCATTGGGTTGCAACATGTCACTTAAGATCCATTTTTTAGACTCGCACCTGGACTTTTTTCCTGACAATTTAGGGGCTGTCAGCGACGAGCACGGTGAGAGGTTCTATCAGGACATTTCTAATATGGAAAAGCGGTATCAGGGCAAATGGAGCCCAAATATGTTAGCAGATTACTGCTGGACAATTAAAAGGAACCAACCAGAAGCTAAATATTCAAGAAAATCTTAGATTATTAAGTCATTTATAAAAAAAAATAACTTTTGATTTACGAGATCTGTGTTTTTCTTAAAATTTAATTTACTCAATAGAATAAAATCCTTGTCTAGCAATTTTTTTAACTGTTTATTTTTTCTTACAATTACCAATTAAAGTAAAAAATATCAAAAAAGTCCGTGTGGCACGACAAAGTTAAAATTTTGTTGACCAGTGTAATCATCGCATAAGCAAATACGTTTTCCATAAAGGTCTATAACGATTTAACCACTTGCCAGAATCAGAAATATTTAAAAACCTTCAAGAAGAAATTGCACTTGTTTTTAAAAGATGTATGAAATCGGCCATATTGGCAATTTGTATTTATAGACAGGCAGAATCCTTGTGTACCTATATGCTATAAGTGAGCCATGAGAGATAAATAAATCGATCCTGCTACTACTATCATTTTACTAAAGGCTATTTCTCTCGTCTTGATTTCTACCAATCACATACGCGCAATTTCGAATTACAAATGAAGGGTACCGGTGAATAACGACAATAGTCCATCCGGACTGATTTTGAGAAAATCGGTAATTAAGGTTTACTTACTTGTTGGAAAGTAAAATTGACGAAAAAATAAGTCGTAAAGAATATCTTTGCTAAACAGTGTGTTTATTGGTAAAACAGATTATACAAATTGAACTTTTACTCAAAACTAGTAACGTAACAAACAAAAGATGATGTTCAACATCATTCATCGACATATGGTCAACTGAGACCGATCAGTCTACTGCCAATTTTTTCTAAAGTATTGGAGCGCGTTGTTTATAAGCAGCTCTGCGCTTACTTATATTCTAACCATGAAGACGAGGACGACAACCACGAGGAGACCGTGGAAGTCGCAGCCGAAATCATGAGGAGTCGACCACCTGGCCAGGAGACGGATCACCCCTCCAGTCCAGAGAAAATCCGTCTGATCATCCGCAGGTTGAAGGTCAGAAAGGGGCCGGGAAGGGACGGCATCAACAACAGGATGCTGAAGAACCTTCCCACCAAAGGCATTGCTGCGCTCACCAACATCGCCAATGCCACTCTGAGACTTAACCACTTCCCGCGGCGGTGGCGGGAAGCCCAGGTTATAATGCTCACCAAGCCAGGCAAGGACCGGAAGTTGCCCCAGAACTACCGGCCCATCAGCCTGGTTTCCTCGATGGGCAAAGTAGTCGAAAAGGCTATCGCCGTTCGACTAGAGAAGCAGGCAGAAGAACTGCAACTTCTCCCCCCAGAGCAATTCGGCTTCAGATCCTCCCACAACACGGAGCTCCAAGCGCTACGACTAACGGAAAACATCACCAGCGGCTTCAATCTCCAGGAGGCAACCGGTCTCGTCCTGCTGGACGCGGAACGAGCCTTCGATCGAGTTTGGCACGATGGACTCATCGCCAAAATGGAAGCCGCCGGAATCGATGCGAACATGTGCCAACTGATCCAGAGCTATCTAACACAAAGATGGTTCACGGTGAAGATTGGTACATGCCATTCAACAAGACGACAGCTGGAAGCAGGCGTGCCCCAGGGGTCAGCCTTAGCCCCCCTGCTCTACAACATCTATACTCACGATGTGCCGAAGACAGCTGACACAATGCTGGCCCTATATGCAGACGACACTGCTATAGCCGCCAAGCATAGACGACCCGAGATCATCCGTAGGAGACTACAGGATGAACTGGACCACATCCAGGACTGGTGCGTGAAATGGAAAATCCGCATCAACGTCCAGAAGACGCAGGCAATCTTCATTCAACGAAGAAGGATTGCAAGACCTCTCGAAGCATCCATCTTCGACGAAGATATCCAGTGGAGCGACAGAGTCAAATATCTGGGGATCGTATTTGACAAGTCCTTCACCTGGAAAGCCCACATAGAAGCTGTCATCGCAAAGACCAGAGCAGCCATGGCTCAACTCTACCCATTACTGGGTAGACACAGCCGGATGCCGCTAGCGACCAAGCTACGGCTGATCAAGGCCATCGCCAGACCTCAGCTCGCTTACGCCTCCGCGGTCTGGGGGTACGCTGCCCCCAGCTACCGCAAGCGACTTGCTGCTCTAGAGATGAAGCTACTCCGGATCGCCACCAGTGCACCATCCTACGTAAGAAACTCAACCTTGCGTAGAGACCTGCATTGGGACACCATCCACGAGTACATGAGGAAAAAAGCGGAGAAGACCTTCGAGAAAGCTCAGGACCACCCGAACGAGCAGCTACGATTCCTCATGGACTACGATCCGGACGAGAGGCCTCGCAACCGCAGAACCAGGTACCCTAGACCAAGGTCCCAGTTGGCACCCGCTAACTGGAACCTTGACTAGGAGAATATCCCCCCCCCCCACGGCGTGGATGCAGAGGACCAAGAACCACCGGGACCAGGACCCACCAGGACCAGGACCCTTCAGGACCAGGACCAGGAACAACATATTGGTAAGAGGACTTGAAACTCTTGATTTTTCGAAAACAAGAGTTTCAAGAGAATCTAGCAGACCCTCTATCGATGATCGCTTAACGACATCGATAGAATGTGCGAGGTAAAGGGAACCAACCGGGCGTTCCCAGAGACTGAAACACATGAGGAGACGTTGTAGCAGACCGCAGGTCACGCACAACACATGGCCTACCGAGACGCTGATGAGTCGGGCCACGCGGAGGTTTAGGGTTTAGTGGGTATTAGGTGATCTCCTCAAGACCCTGGAGTCCCACACACGCTGTAGCTCGGGCTATGGTATGGTGCGTAAATGCATTCCCCCCTCACCAAAAAAAAAAAATATATTCTAACAAAATTATTCCATCTAAACAATCTGGATTTCGACAGGGTCATAATACAGCTTCGGCACTCTGTGATTTAACAGACAATATAACAATGGCACTTGATAACCAAACATCAGTAGCTCTCATACTTCTTGATTTTACTAAAGTATTTGACACCATTAATCACTCACTTCTTGTGTCTAAATGCAGTTATTATGGATTTTCTGAAAAACCTCTTTCGTTTATTCAAACCTACCTTGAAAATCGGTATAAAAAAGTTCGTCTAAATCAACAGTACTCTACCGAACAAAACATTTGTTCTGGTGTGCCACAAGGATCAGTCGTAGGACCCCTATGATTTTCATTATATATCTCAGATTTAGAAACAGGGGTAAAATCATGCAGCTTACAAATAAAAATAGTTGCTCTTATGATATATTTCTTATGACAAATTTACAGGTTACCTGTAACTAGAGTACCATATATCTGGCAAAGCGGCTAGACAAGGATTAACTATATGCAGGTTTCTTGCAATCTTGACTTTCGCCGATGCGAAGTTTGCCCTAAAACTGGTCCCAGTTTGCTTCATCTCCTGTTTGAAAGCATTGTCTATTTCAGCGGATGTCCTTACAAAGGATGGATCTTGAAGGACAAAGTCTATGATCGCTTTCTTTACAGCCATCATGAAATCGTCTTTCACGTCTTGGACTGATTCCGCTAGAGTTTTCTCCCATACCATCAGTTTCCTCGGTACTAATGATAGCACCTACAAGTTAACTGCTATAAGACATATGGCAAACATTTTGAAGTCACTATCGCTACAATTACTATTTTTTTGACAATATGGCCTCACCATGTATACTTTATCTGAAGTCACTTGAAACACTGTGAAATACCGGGTGCGTTTTATATATCTATATTTAACACGCTGTCTGGGCTGCTTTAAAAAAAAAGTAAGAAAACATAATCAGACCCCTCAATTAAGTGAATCGCTATTGGCCACAATAAGAGATGCAGTATCTCATATTGCTGCCACAGACCTATGGAAGCAGTGTTCTAGGCATATTATTGAAAAAGAAAATGAATATTGTGTTTTGCCTCCTGTAAATCCCGTTGTAATTCCTCTACAAGATGACTCTAGCGACAGCTCCGAAGGCGAGGATGATATATAAATACCTATAATGTAAGTCTTTATATAGCTTTTTATATACCTACCTGCTATGTAAATATTTGCCTATGTCAAACGTTGAAATTCTGTGATTTTTCCATTTCTTAACTTTCAGTCAATATAAATTAAACGCCCAATATAAGTATTTTTTATCCCAAATCAAAAAAATAAGAAGATAGTAAAATCAATTTATTGTGATATAAAAACATTATTATTATCGTTCTAAATAAATGCCGCACGCCTATGATACGTCATGAAATTACAAAGGACGCGCCGACCAAAGGTTTTTATGCTATTTCAAGTGACTTCAGATACACCATACAGTGTGTTAAGAAAATAATATTCGTAACTTCAAGAGGTGATTTCTTGGATTATTCTAAGCAAAAAAGTTCGTTATAACCTATGTCCGAAAATCAAACGTTTCGGATCAAAAAAATGCTAAACTTATTCCTTTTTAGTCATGAAATAAATTAATTTGCACCTTAATAATTCAAATTCGTATGCCTAATAGCGTAAAATGTATCAATACATCTAGTTATTAATTTTCTTGCTTATTAAATACAATTTTCCGAAGAAAAACAGACAAACAAGATCCCTCACCCAACTGGCAACGTCGTACTCCGCCTGCACTGCATGAATCATCGCGTGTTTTTGTGATTACTTATACATTTAACTGTAACCTTATGTGATTTAGGGATGTTGTTCTTTTTTCTTTTTTCGTGTATCGCATCGTTTCAAATAAGTGACTCGTAATCGTGGGAATTGGTGGTGTGTATCGCCACATACCGGAAAGTTCTGTCATTTTATTTTTAAGTAAATAATAATAATAATAATATTTATTTACTCTAAAATACAGGGAACATGAAACGAGTAAATAAATATAATATATCCATAGGAGGACAACGCCTGTGCATGGATCATATGTATGTTGAATTGCAAAATATAATAAAATAGAGAGAAAAAAGAAATTATTGGCAAGAATGGTAGAGCATTTATTGTGTAATATTTGAGATTATTTTATTAATTTGATTTCTCCCAATCGTGTTAATAAATTTTTTTAATTTTTTTTTGAAGCCTAATGTATTGCGTAATTGTTTTAAATTATTTGGTAAATGTTCGTACAATTTTGGAGCTATATACAGGTGACATCGTTTCATTAGGGATTTGTTTGGTTTAGGAACATTTTTTGCGCGTAGTTTATATCTGGTTTTATGATTATGGTTAATTATGTCGTGTTCACTAATAGGTTTGTGATAATGAGTGATGGTATGTAAGAAGTAAAGTTGTTTAGTATCATATACTTGTGCATCATTATATAAGTCATTAGTTGGGTATAATTTTGATTTGCCTAACATTGATTTTAAAATTCTTCTTTGAAGTACATCTAAATCGTTAAAGTATGTCGTGCATGCAGCACCCCACACTACTATACCATATGTTATGTGTGGCTCGACTAAAGCTTGATATATTATTCGTAGATAATATTCAGTTAATATACCGGTTAGAAATTTTATTTTATATGCTATGAATCTAATTTTCTTTAGTATGTGAGAAATATGTACATCCCATCTCAAGTGGGGATCTAGATAAATTCCTAAATATTTTGTATCATTAACTCTATTGATTTTTATATTTTTATCATTTACATGAAACCGAAGGTGGTTATATTTTGGTAGATGATTAGATAGTGATGAAAATGGTAAAAAATGAGTTTTAGTGAAGTTAATTTTTAATTTTCGGTTATTAAACCACTGAATAATTTTGCAAAAGTCATTTTGGATAATATCTTTTAAGTCGTTCCAATCCTTACCTTTATAGAGTATAGCAGTATCGTCTGCAAAACTGACTATTTTACCAGTACTGTTAATTTTGAATATATCGTTTAAATAAATATTGAATAACAGAGGACCCAAAATTGTACCTTGTGGAACACCACATTTAACAAACATTTCTTTACTATACGAGCTTAATAATTTTACTGATTGCGGTCTATTTGATAAATAATTTTCCATTAAAGTATACATCTTTCCACGAAAACCTATTCTTTCTAAGATTTCCAAAAGTATATTGTGGTTAACTGTGTCAAACGCTTTTTGTAAGTCCACAAATACGCATATCGATGGTACTTTTCCATCTATATTTTGGGTTATTTCATCTATTATACTTAATACCCCATCTGTTGTAGATTTGCCCGCTATAAAACCATATTGATTTGAATTTAGAATTTTGAATTTATTAAGAAAATTAATCATTTTATTAAGGAGTAATTTCTCAAAAACTTTAGCTAAACTTGATATAAGTGATAGGTCGATAGTTAGTGACGTCCGTATTATCATTAGATTTATAGATAGGTATGATGATTGCTGTCTTGAAAGCTGATGGAAATACTCCAGATTGGAAGGATTTGTTAATGATATAAGCAAGTGGTTCTGTTATTTGTTTGGCCAGTATCTTTAGATGTTCAGCTCTAATTTCGTCAACTCCAGGGCTTTTTTTATTTTTTAGAGTCATAATGGCATTGAAAACATACTGATAGTCTACTTCAGTTAATACAAATGAATTATTCAGTCTTGTTTCATGCAGATGAATATCAGCATTTTGTTTGGTATTATTTGCTAAGTTTCCTCCTATATTCGTGAAAAATTCTATGAACTCATCACATATTTGCTGAATATTGTCTGTTTTCTGTTCTGTTTTTGTTTTTATTTCATTAATATTGTTTTTTGAATAGGATGACTTATTGAATATATCATTGACAGTGGACCATAGGTGTCTAGAGTCATGTGAATTATTATTCAACTGTTTTATATAGTAATTTTTTTTGCTTTTCTCAAAAGTTCTATAAATTTGGTTTTATACTGATTATAATGATCTATATTTTCTTTCGTGGGTAAATATTTCATGATTTTATACAGTGTTTCTTTTTCGTTTGCAGATTTTGTATTATTAAATAAAAAATATTAGCCACAAAAAATGCGTAAAAGAATTCAATAATTTAAGGCATATTTTCAACAAAAATATCATACAAACGTAAATAATTCGATGAATCAGTTGCGGTCGTCGTGCGCTCGTATCGCGGTTGCGTTGCAGCGTTGCCAAATGTTTGAGAAAATTTAATTATTTACGACTCACTTTATATAATATAATGGACTTTTTTGCTTAAAATAATGCAAGAAATCACCTGTTAAAGTTTCGAATATTATTTCCCTAACACCCCTATACAGGGTGGCCCATCCATGTGTGGACGGAATATTACTCATAAAAAATACATTTTGGGAAATTCTATTTATGGCATGTTATACATGACATTTGAGGGCCCATTTCTAAAATATTGGCAATTATACAGGGTGTTCCAATTTCGACCTACATATCAAAGTTGTGAATTTTCAAATAGAATGTCTTAAATTTTATTGCATATTTGGATCAATTAATTCGAAAGACGAAAATTGATATAACCATACTATGGGATTTTGGTAATTGGTTACTGAGATATAAGGTGTTTTGCTAGAAAAGCCCCCTACTTCGGCAACCCCTCAGTCCGCCATTCTGAAACTTGGAGTGCTGAATCAAAAAAAACCTACACATCTCAGCTTTTTTATCCTGCTTGTTACTTTTTAGCAAGTTATTTTTTGCAAAAACGCAACCTGTAGTTTTTCTCAAAAATTTCAAATGCATCACCCTGTATATTTGTGCAAGTTTGGATTCAGTTTTTCATAAGCTTTTTGTTGATACTAGATACATAAGGGTTTTTTATGTATAACATCCCATAAATATATTTTCCCAAAATGTATTTGTTTATGAGTTATATTCCATCCACACATGGATGGGCCACCCTGTATATAGATCCAAACTGTCGTTAGAGCTGGTGAAGGATTTGTTTAAGGATCATATTTGCATAGTTGTACAAATTTTCAGTAACTAAACTGGTGGACAGTTGCTTTCGACAATTTTAACCAAATTCGAATCTCGATATTTTCGGAAGGGAAAAAGATAAAATGTTGCGATATTCGGAAGGTTCTTAACCAGCTCTTTAAGAACACGTACAGGATTTAACTGATATATTCCTTCTGGTAATCCACTTATCCAGGGTGAGCAATGAAAGTCAGGTTTTATTAGCAAAGTGGCACTATGTCAAATTCTCAATTTTTGATCATGTAAATTTATCTATGCATCTTTTTGATCTTTGGACTGCCTTGAAATAAGCAATTTTCCGAACGTTGACTATTACTCAAGCTATCGAATTTTGGAAAAATGTTACATTCATCCCTCTAAAAAGGGACTTTTTTGGGGTTTCTGTTGAGAATGGGTATTTTTTCTCGTACTGTTGCATAAACGGGAATTTCTTCCGCCCGAAAAAAGATTGAAGCACTCATTGAACGTTCTTTCGTCTAATGACGTACAAAACAAATTTGCTACTTTAACATTCTGTAATTTAAACCGAATTTATAAATATTACCATGCAATTAAACAGCTTAACGAACAAACAAAAAAATGTGATTCAAATCGTTTCAAAAAGGCGACATCGTGTCATGATTATGTAGGTTCACTCAGGTACGATGAAAATTCGACCTCTGCGTATCAAACCATACAGGGTGTCC